GCTTTTTACGGAGTTAAATCGTTTAAATTTAAAAAAAAAATACTTATGGATTAAGTATGGTACTCATGATCACAGCCAAGCCAAATATGCCATTTTTCTTTTATGATTGATATACATCGGGATCGTTTTACTCGTCATTTTGACGCTTCATTTTTGACGTTAAATTTGACGTCGCGTCAAACGTTCAATTGAAATTGCAAGAGTTATCTCCCCCAGTGTGTTGTACGTCTTTAAGTAATTGCTGCTAACATAATTTTAAAATGTGTTTGTTTTAATTGGCATCATCAAATTGGGTTATACGATTCTTATCACTTTTAAAGGAGAAAAACAAAAAAAATTTAATATCATACCTTTCTTGTAAGCACATCCTGCAAAACAAATTAACAGACATTGACCAACTTTTTCATTTGTAAAACAGATAATAATTTATACTGTATATTTACACTAAGGTTAAAAGTTATTTCTCTGGATCCATAACAAGAACACATGTTGATCAAAAATGAAAGCTAACTTTGGGTAATATTAATTGCATATTCAAATAAGGGTTCAAGACAATTTCCACACCGAAGTGACAGGACACTTGCCTTGACAGTAATGTGAACCGGCTTGATGGACAGAGGACTTACAGATCCTGCATTTGGCAAATGTCTGGTATGGAGAAAACCTGGTAAACAATAAATATTTACATATATTATATTAATTATTATATAAGCTTAAATGTTGAAAATATATAGTCAGAATAAATTCATATCTATTATCAAATACTGACAGTTTTTGTTCTACTTTGGGAATCTGTGAAGGACTTTACCTGTTTTTCTTTGATGTAAGGGCTTTGTTTTCATTCACCACTCTTCCACCACTTTCTACAGTTAGAGAAATATCAGATAAACATTTACTTTGTACGGGAATGAAATGATCACATGGCTTTCATTACTTTAACTCGTATGAATTTTACATAGCTAAATTTAAAGACAATGTTCCATTAAAAAGTTTTTTTGACCTTTTCCATATCTCGTCCAGTGTTTTCCCTTTATTTCAAAGTAAAGGGTAATTAAGAGATCAATTGTAACTGGCTATGGCATGAGGTTTAGGAACAAAATCTCTGTGGACCTTACAACAAATTTTTATTTCAAAGCGGCATTTTTGTCAATTGAAGCAGTCAATTTGGCCTGTTGTCGTTTCTTAGGGAAAACACTGCTCATCCACATTTTCTGAGTGTAATGGGAAAAAGACTGAGATATGATCTCCCTATAAACATGCATATTTTTCCTCATGCCACGAAAATTTGACCCCTCAAAAATATGTGATTTTACATTACTATAACAAAGTACTACGAATGGACGATAAGCACATGCTGTAAGCTTTAATTCATTATTTTAAGCATGTTTGGCTTTAAACACTTAATAATTTCCTCTAATTATAATAAGTAATGTTTGACTGCTCATTATCATGCACTCCAGAATTTGTTCAATATTTAATAAAATTTTTTATTACAGTAGTTTAAGAAAATTTTGATTGGTCAAAGAGGATATTACCTGTTGTTTTTCTGGCACCTGACTTCCATGGATCAGGGGTGATAACCTTCCCCAGCTTTTTTTACCTGCAACCCCAAAAATAATCATTTGTATATTTATATTATATTATCGTCTCGTATCCTATTTTCGACCGTATTGTATTTTCACCTATTTTTCCCAACTGCTTCCCGTCCAGATACCGCATGGCAGAACATTATTTTCGGTTGCTACACTTGGAAAAATACCTTCGAAGCACAACTGTAGTGAAAATACCCAAAATAATTATTTCAACGGAGTTTCTACGATGGTTTAAGTCCTTTTAGAAATTCTACCCTTTTTACAATGCACATTTTATCTGTTGATTAATAAAGCCTTAATCATTAATTACAAAGATTTTTTGATGACATTTTTCCGAAAAAAAATTAAGATCGCGTCAAAAAACGATGAATATTGAAATGAATGGGTGGATCAAACAAATTTTTTTCTTACTTAAATATGGGGACTTTCTTTAAAATTTTTACTGAAAAATAAGTAATTTCATTGATTTTTTGTGGAAATGCACAGCTACTGACAGATGGCTTTAACCAACGAATAGATGTATTTGCAACCAAAATATGGAACTTGTTCAATGATTTTTTGAAAGACAGACAATCGTATTTTTATTGTTTGGAATATCCAAAGGGAAATTTTTAGCCATTACATTAGGCGTTATACTATATTTAGGTCGAAAACACAAGACGCTAATGATTTTTGTAAGGAAAACTGCACCCTTTCCATATTATGGTATATAAATAAAATAAACACAAAACTGCATTATGGGTTATATCATTTTATTTATAGACACATATGCTTACATTTTTTAAACCCATATTTTCTTAGATTCTATAAAGTTTGCAAAAAATTAATAAATAAAATTAAATAGGTCGAAAATACAATACGCCAGGACACATTTACAATGCAACTGTATACTTAAGCTAATCAGGGTGTTGGTGATGTAAATTAAGACTGTAAATTAAGAAATATAATAAGCCAATCTCATTTATGCTTCAAATTTTTGTGGTATTGTTCCCAATGTAAAACGTAAACAATACTTACATTTTTCACAAACCATTTTCAAAACAACAGGAAATGACACATAGGAAAGTAAAATAGAAAAACGGTGCAGGAAAATTTAGCATATTCCGGGAATGTCTTCAATCATGTCAATGTGTGACCAAAAAGAACGTATTTTGTTGATACAGACAGGAGGTAATTTCACTAAAAGCTATGAAAATTTTTTATGGTGTACCGTGCTGTAATATTTGAATATTTTTTGTATATTTTATGTAGATATTCACACCTCTAACGCTAGTATCAATCAACACAATCATCAGTGGTCAATGCCCCCACTAAACCGCCCCTTTAAAATTTTTGTTTTGCTAGTCAAGAATTTATGTTATGTCGAGGGATTTTCTCTGTCTCTCTTTTGAACAGCCTTGTGAAACCAGTTTATCACAGAGGCGGATTCAGTTTTTATCGGAAAGGGGGGGGGGGCGTGCAAGTTAAGGATTTTCTTTATGACATGAAGTGAAAAAGTAAACACAAAAACGGCTTCAAATATTAGGAAAAAAAACAGGAGTGTGAAAAAATAAGTACAACATATACTTATACATATTAATAATCGAAGAAAATACCAAGTGGAAAACCCATTTCATTATTGGTCAATTTTTATATCATTACAGTTTTCTCTGTAAGCAACATTGTGACATTTTAAGATTTTTTTGAAAATAATTATTAACGTTAAAAAAGCAAAATCAATGAAAAAAAAATTGAATAATATTGAAAAGTTAAGTCATTTTTACTTTAGTTAAGGATTCATCCCAATATCATGTATAGATTATTGAATGATGGTTAATTATTCAGGATAGGTTAATGTTGTTTTTCTGTAATCATATAACAAAATTGGTATCTTATATGATAATCCACATAAACATTCGAACTGACCATAAGTTAATAAGTTACAACCGTCTGGCACATACCTAGAATTTTTTTTCAGGGGGGAGGGGGGGGTCCACCCAAGTCAAAGAACAAATCAAACCCAGAAATATTGACCCCCCCTCCTAAAAAAAACATTAACTCCTTTCCCGTTTGTGTAAACCATGACTTTTCATACCAACTCAACACAAATCCACGTTTTCGAGGAGGATGTCAGCGTTTTCTATATGATATGATATCTTAAGCTGTCAATTATTATTAGGAAAAGAAAATTTCATATTTTAATTTTAAAATTTGATAACTTTTGTTCATCTTTATATGGAACTCTCCTTCTAAACGAGATCAGTATAGCCTGAAACAATGGCCACAACCACCCAGCCCATTTAATAACTCTGCAAATTCAAGGGGAATGGGGATGCTGCAATCCCTGACCCCAACCCCTCAAGATCCGCACATCAACCAAATAAGTCTAAAATATCCATGTTTTTTTTTTACATGACTGGCTTAAAAATCTTGTGTCAAAACATACCCGATTGAAAATTGGATTCATTTTCATTAACAATAATTTATTGTTCTGTATTATACCCAGGTAATATATAGAGAATATTACATACTAAAATCCATATCATATGTCACATCAGCCCGAGTGCCCCATATCAGCCCGAGGGCCGAAGGCCCGAGGGCTGATAGGGGGCCCAAGGGCTGATGTGACATATGATATGGATTTTAGTATGTAGTATTCTATTTATCATATATTTAAAATATTTAATATGCGAATTCACATATTGTCGTTGAAGAATGTTTGTGCTTGTTAGTGACATTTTTCTTTAAAATTTAATAGAGCCAATTTTAGGTAACTGGAAAAAAAAATTAAGACCACAAATGTCCTTAAAGAATTATTTTATATGAATATTTAAATAAAATCAAGTAAATTAACTTTTAAATTTAAATAAAACTTTACTTCCGGTTTGATAAGGATTTTCGGCCCGACGGTCCGATACGTGATATGGCTTTTGGGCCCGGCCCCGTGATATGGGGTATTGTGACGTCCCCCGTATCACCCCGTGCAGAATCGATAATTTACTATAAGTATAGAAAAAAGCAAAATTTTGTAAGTACTTTTTAACTATTTTTACGTTTTTCTTAGACAAATAAATATTAAACTTTACGACTTTCCCCTTCATATACATGTACAACAATTCCTTACACAAAGATTCTCAAAGGTTTAGACTTTAAAATTTCATTGACAGCTGTTTTTTTTTTTCAAAAAAAGGGGGATTATCTTTACTCACCTTGTCATTGCCTTTGGACATTTGCGAAATTATTTTGTTTAAACATTCTCGTTGTACACACAAATATCCTAAGTTTATATAAAAAGATGACTTTCCCCTTCATATACATGTACAACAATTCCTTACCAAAATTCTAAAGGTCTTCAGACTTTAAAATTTCATTGACAGCTGTTTTTTTTTTCAATAAAAGGGGGACTTATCTTTACTCACCTTGTCATTCCCTTTTGGGACTTTTGCAAATTATTTTTTTTAAAACATTTCGTTGTACACACAAATATCCTGAAGTTTATATAAAAAGATGCTGGCGTTTCTGATTGACAATATCTTGTATTTTTGGAGACCAGCCCCTCCAAAAATATTTTGGGAAATTCCCTAGGGGATAATTGTTTTCCATTATTACCAGACCTTTTTGTATTTATAAGTATATGAAGCAGAATTTATTCTTATACATGAGAAGAAAACACTTGCTGTGACATTCAACTAAGCATTTGAGTATCACAGTATTATCAATTAACAATAGCTATATATTTCCATTCATATATCGACACAATATTTCCCAGTGCAGGCCCGTACGAAACATTTTTATTTGCGGGCACGTTCAACTACCAAATACCAAAAAAGTATCAAAAAGTCCCTAAAAAGTCAACAAAGGTTACTGTTGAAGGGACACAGCATATCGTGGGAAAGTTCTTACAGTATTTTTCATTGTAAGTCTTTCCTATCAATAATATGGAACGCCGGGACTGTCTTATATGGGGATTAAATATTATATGCAGTGCTTCCTTTATTATATGGGGATATTTTTATTATATGAATATTTTTTACTTTATATTGTGTACAACCTCCATTATATACAGTACTTCTCTCATTATATGATGTAGGTATGTCATTATATTATGTACATCTATCATTATATGAAGTGCTTTTAACATTATATGCGGTATTTATCATTATATGCGGTAGTTCAAACATTATATGCGGTAGTTCTAACATTATATGGAGAAACAAACAATATATTATGTACTTCTCACATTATATACAGTACATTCATCATTAGTGAGATTTCTGTTATTATGAGAGCGATCTTTAAAAATTTTATGTCCGGTCCAGTTAGCATTTGCGGTAATTTTGCATTTCGTTATGATGTAGACCCAGTATTATATGCGGTGCTTTTTTTTTATGATGATGATTTTTGGGAAGCTACCCTTCGGAAAACCCCTCTGTTATATTTAGAAATTTTTACTTTTTGCGTTCTTAGATATGGACATTCTTCATGGTTTTAGGTTATTTTTTTTTTATTTATTTAGTTTGACAAAAACCACATGTGGCGCAAGTAAACAAAAATAAAAAATAATATAGTCACATGGATTTTCTTAAAATTAAATGCAACACGTATGAAGTTACAAATTTTTTTGAATTTAAATTGCTAATTAAGTTTTGTAAGTTATACATGTATTTTTGAAAAGTGTACAAAATTCACTTTTTAGTTAGGCCCGCCCAGAATTTTTTAAAGGGGGGGGGGGGGGTCCCCCCAGCCCAAAAAAAAAAACCCCCCCCCCCCCCTTAAAAAAAAAACCTACAATCGCCTAAATTTCAAATACCTATTACATGGGGGGGGGGGAGTCAATGACTTCTAGTTTTTCAAACCTCTGACTTTTCATACCAATTTAACACAAATTCGCGGTTACCGGGGGCGGGGGTTGCGATTTCCGAGGGTGGTCCAAGGTTCCCTTTTTTCTTGTTTAGTTTTTCAAAGTCCGGGGGGGGGTGTTTTGACCCCACCCTCTCTAGATCCGTGATGATTAGTTGTTTTAAAGAGGGCACAAACAAATAAAAAATTATGTTCATCTTTAACAACAGTTCATACAATTTTTTTCATCTCTTGGGAAACAAACGCCAAATCTATTTTTTTTTGTGCACATTATTTTCAATCCAGTTAAAAAAGAACAAAGTTTTTTGGAATTGGAAAAAATTAAGTATGGTTGAATTTCAAGCTTGTTAAGATTTGTTACTTATTAACTAGATTTATCCCCTTTAAATTTAAAAGGGAAATTTCGAAGTCATGTCAATACTTCAGTATTTTA